TCCCCAGAGAGAATCTACCACAGTACAAGCATTCACCTAAAGACAAATCCATCATGAACCAATTACCTCACAAAGGTCCTACCTCTCAAATACCATTAGCATATGACTTTGGGGATTTAAGTTTCCAACATAAGAAATTTGGAGGACACACATAAAGCAAATCAGGGGCAATGAGCCTCCTTCCATAGGTAGATAAATTAGAAACACGCTGCAATTGGAAGTCAAAGGTCAGATGACAGTGGCAGTGAAAACTGACAGAAGTAGACAGGACAGACTGGGGTTAAATTTCAAAGACATGGTTGTCAGGACTTTCTATTGAATGTAATTAGTAGAATATGACGGAGATGGAATTAAAGAGGACTCCTGATATAAGCAGATTCACCAAAATGGGAAAGGGAAGGAAATACCTACTATTATGGGCCAAGTTTCAGATGCTTATTAAACATCCAAGTGAAGAAGTAGAGCATAGATGGCTTTTGATAAATACGTGTAATACTACTCCTTTGAGGATAATAAATTCAATTACAAATTTATCTACACATATATAAGAGAGCATTCAAAATCTGATGTTAGTCTATTGCTTCCAGGAACAAACAAAAACAGTGGTGGAAATAACCAGGTATCTCAGTTCATTTAACAAAAAACAAGATTTTTGGCAGTCACTAATGCTCTCTGAACCATATTTTTAATAAAAGGATGTTGAATTTTATGTGAGAAACTTTAGATGAATGTTATTAACTCAATTCAAGTACTGTTCCACCTCTCTAGGCCTATAAACACTGGAGTGGTTAAGTGTCAAGTAAGAAGTGAGTAGTGACTCATCAAGTTACTTTCACTAAAAGATAACTAAGTGCTATATACAAAGCTACCTGAGGAAAAATGTTGATGCTTTTGGCAATGATACACATTTTAATCCAATAAAGTGGATTAAAATAAATATATTTATATTAATATATATTAATATAAATATAATTAATATTTATTAATTATAAATTAATTATAAACGATATGTTACATTCAGTAAAATTTATCTTTTATTATACAGATTTGAATTTTGACAACCACTTACCATCAAATAACCACTTCCATAAACAACACAATAGTTCCTCTTTCAAAAAATTCCTTAAGTCTTTCAGAAGTAAATTTCTCCCCTAGCACCAGACTCTAGCAACCACTGATCTACTTACGGTCCACTATGCGCTTTAACTTGAAGCACAGACCTAGGAATCTGTAACTTTTATTGACTGTTGCCTATCAAAGTCTTATAAAAATAAAACTTCTTGAAAAATACGATGTAAGAAATATTAGAATCACACAAAATGTATTTAATGACTTTATAAGAGAAGAAACCATCTATTCCAATTGTCAAGGATTAGATTCAGGTCTTCAAAACAGGGTTTATAATTTTTCTCTAGGACAGGTTCTACATCTAATTAGCTTGGACAAAACATGATTTACACACTCAATAAACAAATTTACATGCTTCTTCCTCAAAATAACATAAGGTTTTTACATTACCATCTCATACAAAAAGTAAATTAAGAGAGAAAAACAGCACATGATTTTTACATATGACTTTCTATAATAAGAAACTGGAAAACTTAAATTCAATTAATTTTGTTACATAATTTCATTTATAGAATTCTACAATGCTTCTTTAGTAATTCTTTAATATCACTTTGTTTCACAGCCATTTTGAATTGTAAAATATATATGTATATTTTGACAAAAACACATGACATTTAATTTTAAAATCTGTACTACTATTATTATTCAAGTAGGTCAGTCTCTGTTACATTTACTTTGAAAGCAGATACTTACCTGGGAATTATTTGCTAGAACATATTTTCGTTTTTACTACCTATTATATACAGGGAGTGTGTTTAAAGTACTGGTAAGGTAATTTATTAACTGATTCATTGTTTGTTTTAAATGAACAAAATCATCTTCCAAGGTGTGAGCCAGACATACAGTTTACCAGTTAAGGTCTTAGGCTTAGTAATCAGAAAGACTTGGGCTCTGTTTCCAGATCTGTTATTTATTGGTTCAAACTCTGAGCAAGTAATTTAATGTTTTACAGTGTCAGTTCCTTTATCCATTAAATGCAAATAGCAGTACTACCTACCTATCCCATACAGCATCCCTACAAATTGTTTAGTATCAGGTCTAGCACATTTTAGTTACTTAATAAATGTTAGCTGTTATATACCAGATGAAGTTTTCATTTCAAAAGAATTAAAGTATTCTATCATTCAGCATTACCTCTGGAACAATAAGGAAATTATATTTATTTATATTATATGGATGACAAAGTAGGGGACAGAGTTGATTGAATCAGCAGACTTATAACGCAGGTGCACACAGTGAAAAAGAAGTTGATCAAACAACTTCAATAATGTAGACCATCATGCTGCTATCCTTTCTAAGAGTAGGGTTTTCTTTCATCTTTTTAAAGAAATAAAGAAGGAACGGTGCTTTGTGATACAAATTATTTTTAAAAAGCCAAGGATTATTGACATCTTAGTTTATCTTGGCTGCTATAATAAAATATGACAAGTTGGGTGCTTGTCATATTTGAGCCAGGCATGGTGGCGCACACCTATAATCCCAGCGGCTCAGGAGGCTGAGGCAAGAGGATCCCAAGTTCAAAGCCAGTCTCAACAAAAGCGAGGCACTCAGTGAGACTCTGTCTCTAAATGAAATACAAAATAGGGCTGGGGGTGTGGCTCAGTGATTGAGTGCTCCTGAGCTCAATCCCTGGTTCCCCCCCACACCAAAAAAACAAAAACAAGTATTCATTTCTCATATTTCCAGAGTCTTGAAGGCCCAGGATCAAAGCAAAGTGGTTCATTTCCTCATGAGGGCCGACTTCCTCACTGACAGCCTTCTTCTCATTGTGGCCTTACATGGTGGAAAGTGTGAGGATACTTTCTGGGGTCTCCTTTATAAGAGGTTAACCTCATTCCTGAGGGAAGTGCCCTTCCAAAGGCCCCACCTTCTAATATTATCATCTTGAGGGTTAGGGTTTCAACATATGCATTTGGTGGAGACATGTATATTCAGTCCATTACAGATGAACATAGGAGAGATCTACATGTTGTAGTTCTTTCAGTGTAGTAAAAAGAGACCTCTTAATCATTAACTTTCTTCTCTAGAAAAGGGATTTCATTAAGTGAGAACTCATCTGGTGAAGCCATCCAAATGAAAAGAGTTGACTGGATAATGTTCAGATTTGATATAATGTTTTTCATTAAGTTACTTCAAAATGAAAATAAATACTTACCATTTACCCCCCCTTTCTTCTCTAATTTCTCAGAAATGTAATATTTTCTTCTACTTTTTACAAGCAAATTTATGGTTCTCATAAAAATTTAGATGAAGTTAGAAGAAAATTTAGAGAATATCTAGTCCAATTTCTTCATTTTAAGGTGAAGAATGAGATCCAGAAGGGAACTGACTAAAATAAAATGAAAGCCAAAGTGAGGGCTGGGGATGAAGATCAGTGGCAGAGCCCTTGCCTAGCATGTGTAAGGCCCTGAGTTCAATCCCCAGGACAGGGAAAGTCAAAGTGGTCCTGGAGGCAAATGTTTCATGCCCCACAAAATGTTCCACTATGAGTATACCAAAAATTTAGGATAGATAGAGCTCCTTTGCATTCACCAGAGACATCATCTTGTCACCATTTCTATCAATGTCACTGCACTCAAGCTAGCTATTGCCCATGAAAATGGCCATGCTTCTCTAGTGATGTAAGTATCAGTAATAGTATATGATAGCAATTGTCAGTTTTAATGTAAAGACCATTGTTCTCCCTATATATGTCTCTTGAGTTTTAGAAATAAATTAACTAATCCTTTTGGAACAGTAGTAATCTTTAAGGGGAACATCTGAATTTCACATGTTAAAAATGTGGTTGCAGACTATGAGATAAACCTGACAAAAATTTAAAAGGAAATATATGTAAAATTATTCTATGGTGATAGAGATCAGAACAATAGTTGCTTGAGGACAGGGACTGACTGGGAAGGGGCAAGAAAAAACATTTTAGGGGATGGAAATGTTCTATATTTTGCTAGGGATATGGTCAAGCTGTGCATTTTACTGTATGTAAATAATATATTTTAAAAACAATCACATGTAGAAAACTCAGATTTTTAAAATTCTTATCCAAAAGAGGGATCCTGCAGTAATCTAGCTGATGAAAAGCAATGAAAAACCAATAGTTATCTTCAAAATCATTGCAGCTAAATGCATTTCTGTTCAACTATTCATGAGAATAACACACACCTTGCCAGAACTCATATATCTGGGAAGTAAGTAAGAGTTTCCTTTCAGGCTTTGCCAGTTAATGGATTCTGCCTTCAACAGAATTGAGGGCATTATTTAAGAACTGTGCATATTAATGTGATAACAAATACACTGATATACATTGTCGACTGAAGTACATTTGTAATTTAATAATAGAACTTCATCTTAAAAACCACAAGAGAACTTAAGACTTTTAGAGGTAAGGAAAGGAAGGTTGAATACAGTGAATACTAATCAATTTTTTGCTGATATTCTACTGTTTTCTTATGAACACCTGAGCATGTATGACATTCTGCCCACTAAATACCATATCTGGCTATAGAGTCTTGTTAAAAACAAAAAGACTATTGCTGACCAGCACCATGATGCTGGTTAGGAATCACAGATGAACTGGCACACAAACTGGTTAAAGATACTGCTTGCTGTATTAGTGTTTATGACAAGAGACAAGGAAGACAAAAGGGCAACTTTTGAGTTGAAGTCATAGGGAGAAAAGGAAGGTAAAAAAATTGTTACCTCTTTCAGCAAACTACATTTAAGTGATGATTTTTAGCACATATTAGTAAAAAGTCCAGTATACTACCTGGCACACTGATAAATGTTAGCTGTTTAAGAAAATAATAAATCCAGCTATAAATGAAAGAGCCATAGGAGAGACACCTTCCCTCTTCCTTAGTGATGGTTTTGCTTACCAAGTCTGGCTTTACTTGGAGAATCAGAGGAAAGGAGACCGACATGGAGTGCAAGGTGGTGAACACTGTGGAGAACCAGGACTGCTGAACCTCCCGGCTTCTTGGAATTTGGTGAATGTAGTATTGGGGATACTAGAATAAAACAGTAGAAATCAAAACCAATTGAGTTTCTGATACCAAAGATAAACATAAGCAACATTTGCAGAAACAGGAAATATTTTCTTATTTATTTTTAATTTCCATTCTAATCACTTCTAAATTAGAGTTAAAAAGCCTATTTCATGCTTTATCTAGCACTCACCTATCTGGGTTATGACAGAAAAGTTATTAAATGTAATTGAAAAAATATTTGTCGGTTTCAACAGTAAATATGGAGAGATTTTCTATACATTATCTATTATGGGCCAAGAGTTTAACATGCTGATATACAAAGAGGTCTTATAAATTGATATATAAGAAAGCCTTATGTCAAGATGTACAAAGAAGATTGACAGATATTTCAAACAGAAGAAATACAAATGTATAAGAAATACACGAAAAATTGGCACCAAGTACAAAAGGAAAACAATTTGTCATTTGACAATGATTGTGGATACTCAGTATCGATGAGGGTGTAGGGAAACAGATATTTACATTCCCTGATCAAATATATTGGTACGACTTTTGGGAAGTCATTCTGGAAGAACTTGTCAGAATTTTAAATGTGTTTACTTTTCTTTTTTTTTAATTTTTTTTTTTTTTTTTTTTTTTTATTTGTAGATGGGCACAATATCTTTATTTTATTTATTTATTTATGTGGTGCTGAGGATCGAACTAGTGCCTCACACATGCTAGGCAAGCGCTCTATCATTGAGTCACAATCCCAGCCCCTAAATATGTTTATTTTTGATCCAGCATTTCTGCTTCCAGAAATAGAACACACATATGTCCATTCACTATCTCATTATTTATATTTGTGGAAATTTAAAACAGACCAAATATTCTCCAATAGGGAATGGAGAAGTCAGTAGAATAAAATATGAAAATATATTAACAAATGACATAGATCTACATGTACTTATGTGGACATTATCACAGTAAGTGAATAGTACAAGTTGTAGGAAAGTATGTTCACTGTGATCCACTGTCTTAACAAAACATTCATGCACACTTTTATACACATGTATTTGTATACACAGGCATACACATATATATTAGCATTTGCATGAATAAAATCTGGAACTATGTGCCATAAATTATGAAGAAGATGATATTACAGGATATTTTCATTTGCTGGATCATATATATATATATATATATATATATATATATATATATATATATATTTGAAATTCATAAGAATGTATTATTATTTTCATAGAGAAACCAACACATTTTCCTTGTATCAAAGTTCCAGGTGTTTGGTTATCTACTATTGACTAACATATTGTCCCAAAACTTTGCAACTTAAAACAACAACCCACCCCCCTCTTTCTGTGGTTTAGGAATCCAGGAATGGTTTGGCTGAGTAACTTGGGCTTGGAATATCTCATGAACTTGAAATCACGTTGTTCTCTGGGATTACAAACATTTGAGTGTTTGACTGGGGCTGGAGAATCCACTTCCAAAATGGCTTGGTTGTTGTCTGGCAATTTAGTGCTAGTAGTTGACTGGTGGCCCTAGTTCCTTGTCACATGGGTCTTCTAATAGTGCTACTCAAGTGTTCTAATTACACAAGTGCAAACTTTCAAAAAGTGTATGTTCCAAGAGAGGGCCAGGCAGAAACCACAATGTCTTTTATGACCCAATTTTATGTCACACTTGTCACTTCTGCAAAATCCAAATAGTTACACAGGCCAAACCTATTCTATATGAAAAGGAACCTACAAAGGAGTGTGATACTGGAAAGGGAGAAATCAATGAGGACTTTCTTAGAGCCTGGCTTCCACACAGTTAAGTCAGAGAGTAAAGAACCAAATATTTAATAATATTACCTCCCCCTTTGGTCTTGAGGAACAAGATGTTCCTTGAGAAAGGAACAAAAAAGCCTTTCTCTAAAGTAGTGGAAAATACATAAGTAAAACTAGTAGTCTTAAGTGTTTTTTTTTTTTTTTTCCAATCAGAAAAATGTGTGAAATTGGAGGATTCTGACATGCTCAAAGAGAGAATGAGGGAATGAGTATGGTTCTTAAATATTCAGCCACAAAGTGAAAATGGACTGCACATGTAACAACTCTATTTCTTTATATGATGACAAAAGATATGTTCTCCTCTTTCTGTGGTATATCAGTAGAGAATGGGGAATCTGGGCTCAATTTTTTAACTTACTATTTTTATTTACTTACCAATCATTATCAATCAATGTTGTTTCTTCTTTCCAAAGGCTTAAGGTGTTCAATACTGAACTAAAAGCTAATTCTGATAGTCTTCAAACTATGGATGATATAGGCAGCAGTAAAAAAGTAGAGGCAGACTTGTTTGAGGCTTGTGTTTACTTAATGTGTGGGGACTATTAATTGGCAGGCTGAGTAATTTTTCAGAGCCAAAAGTCCTTTTCAGAAACCTTTTGGGTCAGAAGAGTGTGGACAGGTAACATGGTATATATACCACATATAATGTCCTCCTCTGGAGTTTGCAGAAATAATCAAATAATAATATTTCTGCAGTAAAATATGAACAGCTATACTGAGTAGGGTAGACCATAAGCTTCAAACCAGATCAAATAGTTTTTGCTATTAAATAAGCTTGTGAAAAATTCAAAAAAATTTTCTCTAGTCTTCAATGTTTTTAGGATTTCAGACATATATAACAAAATACACTTGAATCCACTAAGATGCCTGGTTATTATGATTATTATAATAAAAATAATCCCTATAAGAAAAAAAATAAACCAGTAGGGTCTTATTGTAAGTATTTTATATGTTACTTCCATCCAACTTTTTGATGCCTGATCTCAATATCTGTAATATTTCCTTCAAAAAAATCAAAAGTATTTATCATGTTCCTTTAATTTTTAAAAAAAGCTATATAATTTTAAAATTTCATAAAGAAGTAATGAACAATATTTCTGGATTATATGTGAACAGTGTCCCATGGGAACAGAAAGGTGATCAGTTTGAGTCTGGTTCCTCTGATTTCATCTTGGCTTCAAGGAAGAACAACTCAGGCTTGGTAAGGCAAGTGTGTCTGGGGCTGAAGACAGCTTCCCTAGACCTGGACAAAGAGTCTACATCTCATCCCCCCATAGGCAGCCTGAAGAAGTGATGAAAGTAGGTTTGGGAAGTTTCAATTCATTCTCAGAAGAATGGAAACTAGAGGAGGCATTTCTAGATGGGAACTAAGTGATCTCTGAGACATAAACTGAGGCATGAGGGTAAGACAGTAAGACTAGTAACTCAAGTTTTATGGCCTCTCTTGACTTCTGGTTGCACCAGGCAAGGGACCTGACATTCCAACTTCCAGATGCTTAGCTGGAGAGAGGTGTCTTGGTTCCACTTGTGTGTGAAAGCTAACTGGGTCAGTGACCACATGTTTACAGTGATCACTCAGTGTGCAGAGGTGGCCTGTTAATACCTGTAGTCTCAGTATAATTAACAGTGTCTCATTCTGCTCTCAGAAGTATCTACAGGGGAGGGCAATGAGTAGCTTTTTCTAAGTCAGTGGGAAAGGTATTTATTCAGAACAGTCTGAAGAGTCAATGGTGGGGGCCTGTGGTTGTGGCTCAATGGTACAGCACTTGCCAGGCACGTTTAAGATACTGGGTTTAATACTCAGCACCAATAAAAATGAATAAATAAATGTATAAAAATGTTTTTTAAAAAAGAGTCAATTGGATGGGAAACTCTGCATTAAAGGACAAGAAGAGGAGTTTCAGTGGTAGCTGGGATGAAGTCAAGCTGAAAGTCTTAACAGTGAGGTAAACACAACTGCCACAGGAACAGGAGAGTCCATATGGTGTCACTCTCTGGCTTGCAGTTCTATACTAGAGAAGTCTCCACCTCCAAATTCCATACAGATTTTCCTCACATTATTTTTTAATAATCTAATAATCAATCAGGTATCTGGAAATCCCACCAAAAAGAGATTGTTCTTTGTGTTAATCAGCTTTTTGTTACTGTGACCAAAACAACTGTAACAAGAACAACTTAGAGGAAGAAAAGTTTATTTTGGTTCATGGTTTCAGAGGTTGGGTCTATGGTCAACAGGACCCAAGGCAGAAACATCATGGTGGAAGGGCATGGTGGAGGAAAGCTGCTCAGCTCATAGCAGCCAGGAAGCAGAGAAAGAGAAAGCAAGAGGACAGGTATAGTTCCAAAGGCCACACCCCAAATGACGCCTTGCCACCCAGCCATCTACCTGCATACAGTTACCACCCAGTAGTCCATTTAAATTATTAACTCTTCTCCCATGCTTGACCCATAGAGGTGGGTCCTGGGTGTCTGATGACACCCCTAAAGGAAATGCTGAGAACCTGGCTTGGCAAAATCTTGAGAGAGTTTTTTAAAGTTTTACAAAATAATCACATATATAAAGAAGTCAGTGAGAAAAAAAAAACTATTAATAGAAGGCTTGTATTTTGGTCTTAACAAAAGTTCTTTTGAAGACAAAGGAATGAGACAAGAGGTTCAGAGAGCCACAATTCAGGTCTGGCTATGACCCTGGGCCAGGAATTCCCTGGGGGTTGTGGTATCTGGAGAAATCCAAATGAAAGGCATCTTTATAGACATATTGTTTTGTTAGTCTATACTTGTTCCTTGAGGGGACTGTTCCTGACCCTCCTTAATGTTCTGTAAAGGAATGTAGTACATAAAAGAAGACGTAACCATCATTTTACCACAATCACCCTGATTGACTTCCAGAACCACTGTTTGATTTGGGAATGGCCATATGGACCAAGTAGGGTAGTCTTTTCCTGGATTATTAGAGACCCAGGAAAGAAATATTTCCTTTGAAGGACACTGTGGGCTGCTGAACTGGCTCTCTCAATCTATTCTACTAGGGCTAAGAAAGGTATACTTTTTGTTTGCTTTCCCCTATCCACTAGGCTTTTCTACAGTGACCTGAAAATGAACTATCATACTCTCAGGACATAAATCAACAAATGAAGAATAGGATCTATCAGATTTCCCACAGAGAAATGAAGATTTATGTTG